AGGATAAATCTCCCCAGACTTATCCAACGGCTGTGAACATTCTAAACTAACACGAGTCTCATAAGTGTCCAGTTTAAGGGTATTACACAGAAACACACAACAAGAACATGAATCAAATATGTACTTTATTCATTTACAATAAATGTCATAATGTACATCAATCTGATTGGAGCTAAGGGCATACAACTGTCTAACAATAAGTCCAATACAAGCCCTATTTGGTCTCCACCAATGACTAACTACATTAAGCTAAAATTTGATGGAGTAGTGCAAGTAACCTAGGTCCCTCTAGTATTGGAGGGTTGTTTAGAGATAGTGAACGTAGAATTGTTGGCCTATTTTCAGGCCCAGTTGGAGTAGGTAATTCATTAAGGGCTGAGGTTATGGTTGTCATGGAGGGACTGCAAAATGTAGAGGACATGAGTGTAAGAAAATTGATTATAGAAGGTGACTCAAAGCTGATAGTGGAGTGGTTGCAAAAGGAAGAAAAAATATTTTGGGTTTTTAATAATGGAAAGGAGAGATTCAAGTGGCTGATACAAAATATGGATGTGAAATTCAGTTGGGTTAAAAGAATTGCAAATGGGTTTGCTGATGTATTAGCAAAACAAGGGGTGGGAAGGAATCAACTGTTTGGCCTCAATTGTAATAGCAAAATTCTTCTGTGGAGAGTTAAGAAAGTTTATCTCTCCTAATCTTGTAATTATCTTTTTTAATTCTAATGTAATTCGGTTATTGATAAAAAAACTGAGGATACTCTATAGCTGATGGGCTAGCTAAACAGGGGATAGAAAGGGATGTAATGTTCTGGGCTAAGTTGTAACTAATTTGCTTCTTTTTTCCTTTCTTTCTTTGAGGACTTAAGTTGTCTTTGGAAGATAAGAGTGTTTGTCTTCCTTGACATAACTATTCCTATCATATTTTAATAAAATTACTGAAGTTGTTGATGACCAAAAAATAAATAAAAAAACTGAGGATGATGTCGCCATAGAATGTACAAAATGAAAAGACGACAAGAGTAATTTATGAAACTAAGAAAAAAAATTGGATACTCAATAAATGTCTTTAAATGTTTAAGGCGGCTTTGTACATATTTCTACGTAATAGTTAATACTTCACCAAGTCGACTAATGCAAGATTGGATATTGACGTGATCCAGTTTTCGGCCTGACTGACTTTCTGAAAAGTCCAACTCCCAAGTCCAGTCTAGGTCTCACAATATTGGTATTAATATATTCACCATGATCATTTAAGCCTTGTCCCAACTATATGGGATTCACTACATGAATCTTGTTTCACCTTTCCATTCTGTTAAGTGCCACATTCATTGTTCAATTATGAGTGCTTAAATAATTCCTTACCATTTTAATCCATCGTTTCAGTCTCCTCTAGCTCTTCTAGCCACTTCAACTTGTAATAGATCACTTCTTCTTACGAGTTCTGCTGATGGTCTTTTATGCATGTGAGCAAGCCATCTTAGTATACTTTCTGATTTTATGACCTATTGGAGCTACTCTTAGGTTCCTCTGAATGACTTCATTTCTGACCATGTCTTTTCTATTTTTCCACTCATCCTCTTTGTGTTTGCATTTCTGCCACATTTATAAATGCATGCTCTCTGAATTTGGCAGCTGATGATAATAGATGCATACTCCTTAATATACCATATTGGCATATCTGTTATATAAGATATCCTGCCTTCCTCTTTTGTATGTCATAAAGTATGTATCTCTTTTTCCTCACTGTGTGCTGTGTGCTTTATTTTCCTGCCCATGTTTATTCTTTTTGTTTACTTTGGTTGCTGCAGGTATGGAGTCTCTCCATTTACTCCATTCAAGGGACTTTTTATCCAAGGTCCCATTTTCATCAGCTTTTTCACGGCTGTAAGATCTTTAAGTCTCAGTTCCATATTATGAAGCACAATTGTTCATTTCAACTCCAATTATGTTTTTTGTTTTTGTAGTTATTTCAAATATTCTCAGGAAAGTCAAAGTCATTTTATTTTTTATTTTTGTAGATTTCAAACATGGCAGAGAAGGTTCCATCTTTCAAAGGTGGTGGAGCTTTTTGGTTTACCGATCTCACTACTCCAGATAGTTTATACATCTTTCCAATTCTAACATCTTTGATCTTTCTGATAACTGTGGAGGTGGGCACTCTTTTGTCATACCAACTATTCCAACTATTGCTGAATCTTTGCCTAGAAGGATCCTGGCATGGTTTTGATAAACCTTGTGAAGTCTATCTTTTTTATTTCTCCTTGAACTTAATTCTGAAATCAGATTGAAGTATTCTACAGAATGTATCATTTATTCCTTCCATTTCTGTGGTCTGACTAATTTGCTACTTAATGCGGTAATACATCGTTTTTATTTTTTTTACTTTATTCTTTTTGATCAGCAAGAAATTTTTATTAATAACAGAGAAATTCAGTTACAATAGATAAAGATTTCCGAGACACATTAATCTAAACTGCAATATCCAGCAATCAGTTACAATTCTGCCCAATACAATGAAGATCTATTTGCCCCTTGTTTTGCTAGGGTATCTGCCATTCCATTTGCATCCCGTTTGACCCAACCAAACTGAGAGTTGATCCTCCTGGCGAGTATGTCAATTTCTCTGAAGATAAATTTGAGCTTCCAAGGTACTGATGTGATGTTTTTAGCCCAAGAAATGACCAATAGTGAGTCTCCTTCTATTCTAAGTCTGTTGTTCCAATCTGCTCAGCCATCTTTAGACCTTGAAGTAGGGCTAGAGATTCAGCCTGAATTGAGTCACCAAAACCTATTGGTCCTGAGTAGAGTGCCACCACCACACCCAAATGATTTCTAAACACACCCCCTATGCCTGCCCTTCCTGGGTTGCCAAGAGAACTCCCATCAAAGTTTAGTTTTAGTTTGTTCAGTGCCGGTGGCTTCAATTCCATACTTACAAATACTTTGGGTGCATTTGTTTGTGCTACTTCAGCCCAATTTCTTAGAATCTCATTCGTGAAGTAGTTTTCGAATATCTCCATGGTCTTCACCCAATGTGCAGTTTTGATTTTTATGGCTTCAATAGCTTCCTCCTTTGTTTTACTTTTTCCAAAGAAAATTCTTAGGTTTCTTTCCTCCCATATAGTCCATACTGTAGCTGCTCTTGCTGCCTTCCTTAAGCACTTTCCTCTTTTCTTCTGTTGACTCAGGAGAGAGGGGCTGAAAAGACTTACCACAACCTGTGGGGGAACCCATCTGCATCCAAAGAGAGAACAAACAACATTCCAAATACCAGAAGCAAAAGAGCAGGATAAAAGTAAGTGGGTTAGGGTTTCACCACAACCTATACAAAGGACACACACATGAGGAGAGAGGCAATTGTTTGGCCTCCTTTTCTGTAGCACATCACAAGTGTTTACCTTCCCTAGGAACACTTCTCTGCAGAAACCTTGTATTTATGGAGGGATCGGTTTAGACCAGATTTCTCTCACTGGGAAGTTCACCCATAAGATCAATGTGAGTAAGCAAGCCAAAGAAAGATGCACAGGAAAATAAACCATCAGAAGTTGGGGACCAAACTCTACAATCAGCTATAGATTGGTATAAGTAAACCCTCTTAAGTGTTTAGATCAAAAGCACTAGAGACTCACATTCATTTTCCCTCAACCCTCTTCTGAATCCAAAATCCCAAGAGATACCCAGATCTGAAAGCAAAGTAAACCTAGCAACAGGTTTGTTTTTATGGTTTGATAGGGAGTAGAGGTCTGGGAATTTGACCATAAGAGGCACATCCCCAACCCAAAGGTCTTCCCAGAATAAGACTTTATTGCCACAACCAACATCAAACCTGATAAATCGAAGAAAGGTTGGATATACCTCAAAGATTTCCTTCCAAGGAGAATTTGGAGCTGCATTGGGGGCTAGTTTTGCATCCCAGCCGTTATTTGCTTCACCATGAATGCTTTTAATGACCCTATGCCACAACCTATCTTCTTCACAAGGGAATCTCCACAGCCATTTCCCTAGAAGGGCCTTGTTTTTCTTTAATAAGTTCCCTATACCTAATCCACTCTGGTCCTTAGGGTAACAAACTTGCTCCCACTTCACTAAATGGTCTTTCTTTTCATCGCCTGGTTCCCACAAAAAATCCCTCATAATCTTCTCTAACTTCCTAGCTATTTTCACTGGGATCTTAGTTTCCAAGGACTATTTATGTCCTTGCTTCTAGGTGAGTATAATATAAAAAAGAAAAGAACAATTCGTTCTAAATGTCTAAATATTTTTAAGATCTTTCTCAGTGATTTAAAAGGCATGCCTAGGTGCACAAGCGAGGTGCATTTTAGGGTAGGCGCCTTGCCCAGGTTCTAGGTGCAGGCCATTGAAAAGGCGCATGCTTGGTGTGCCTAGGCGTGCGCCTGGTGCGCCTTGCGCCTTAGCCCAGGCATACGCCTTTCAAAAATTTGTCACTTTTTCATATTTTGAGGCTGGCGGATGGGTCGGGGACTTTGCCCCAAACCCCCATGCCATGCCCCTCGAGGTAAGTCCATGTTAGGGTCTTAAATTCTTAGTTCTCACACAAAAAATAATGATTTTATAACTTTAATTGCTTTTTAAGAAGATATTTTATTAGGATGAATGAATCAACAACATTAGCAAATTGAGGGGGGGGGGGTTCTTGGAGCTTTGGTGAGTGAGAAAAGCGAGTGAAAGGCGTGAAATTTTCAAAAGGCGCATGCTTGGGTCAAGGTGCAAGGCACATCAAGTGCATGCCTAGGACCTAGGCAAGGCACATACCCTAAAATGTGCCTCACCTGTGCACCTAGGCGCGCCTTTTAAATCACTAGCCTTATCGCAACTATATGGGGTTGGCTACATAAATCCTATTTCACAATTTGTTTAGTGCCTTATCCATTGTTAAATTATGAGTGCTTATATCATTACTTACTACTTCAGCCCATGTCCCTTTTGGTCTGCCCCTAGCCCTTCTAGCCCATTCAATTTGCAATAAATCACTTTTTCTTATGGGTTCTGTAGATGGTCTTCTATGCACATGAGTCATCTTAGTTTGCCCTCACTCATTTTTATCACCTATTGGAGCTACTCCTAGGTTCCTTCAAATGACTTCATTTCTGACCCTATCCTTTCTAGTACATGAATTTCTGCCACAGATTTTCGAACATATATTTTCTTGACCATCCAAAACTCTGCTCCATGCAGCATTTGCTGACCTTATCACTGTTTTATAGAATCTATAAGACAGGGTGCCTATGTATAAAATAAATAGTTAAACATACATAGAACATATACTGCATGTGTCCAAGAAATTTATTAATAAAGAAGAAATAAGAATAGTACAACAATTCAAACACTCCAAAGAAATATTTTTTGATTGGTTACTGTTCACTTTATTAATTGGTCATAAAGAATATGAAATATGAATAATGAAAGGTATATCAAGCATCCAAAGCTCTAACATAGCCACTGCTATGTTTGCCACTGCTATTTAGTATTAGAACTCATGGGATCAAGAGGTTTTTTTTTTTGGTGGTAACTCTTAGGCTCAAGAGTTCCTAGTGGTAACCCCCCAATTGGGAGTCTCCTTCCACCAATGTATCCCTATACTTTAATAATCTACTCTCCAAGAAACTTAGAACATTAGAGCTGATAAAAAAAAAAAAAAAAGAAACTTAGTTTTGTTTTGTGGTGGTAACTCTTAGGTTCAAGAGTTCCTAGTGGTAACCCCCCAATTGGGAGTCTCCTTCCACCAATATACTTTAATAATCTACTCTCCAAGAAACTTAGAACATTAGAGCTGATAAAAAAAAAGAAACTTAGAACATTAGAGAGAGGAAAAGTGGAAAAGATTAGAAAGGACTGAGTTTGAGGAGTGAGTTGGATGCAAGTAGGACTGAAGGTAAGAAATAGTCTAAGGACTAACAATAAAAAAATAAAGTAATCTAAGGACTTAAAATTTGATTGAAAACGTGGCTATTCATTCAGCAAAATGTCTGGGCAGGATTTTTGTATATGACTCCAAATAGTTGGGGTTATGGTTGAGTTTAATTGTATCTTGTTCTCACGTCACAGATCATTGGTGTTAATCTGCTTCACTTGGTTTTTATTGTGCTATTATAATTTTGTTTGACTGATTTTTTCTTGCTATGATTTTCTACCAGTATTCAGTAAAGAAAAATAGTAAGCATACATTTTTTTCCTTGTATACCTTACAAATCCATGTTACACCTCAATCACATATCTAGAATATTGTGTTGGACGCACCACTGGTGAAAATTGTTGAATCCATTTAAAATAACACAATGTCATGTTTTGTACGATGCATTTGTAAGACATACAAGAAAATAATATTGTATGCTTAGCATTACTCTTCAGTTAACTGGTTTCTATCACTTTTTATAGTGCAATATGCAAGAGGGTATGGAAGGAAATTCTGTTGCTGGCACCATGAAGAATGTGTCCAGGGTCCTTGCTGTTCTTACTATTCCTTTCACAATGAGCTTCCCTAAGGTATGCTACCATGATGTGGAAAAGGGCATTATATTTTGCATCAGCTATTTATGCTTCAGTTCCATTGGTTGGACTCTATTTTGTTGATACTTTCAAGTTAATTAGAGAGTTTTCACATTTTATGATTTTTTATGTTTTCAGTGGAGTCATTTGGGCACATACTACTTTTGACGTAGGGGCACACCATAATTACCAGAAGGCCACATTACCTTCAAAAGACGAAAACACTGCTATGTATTAATTTTTATTTTTGTAAACCAAGGATCAAAATTTTGCGACATATCAGCTGGTACATATCATATTGGTGGGTCACCGATATATGAAATTCTTAGAGTTTGGGGTTTGACCTATTTCAGGGGGTAGATGAGACTAATACTGACACCCCTCTGAACAAGTTTGGAAAAGAAACCAAAAAAAAAAAGTAAATGCCCTGTTGTAAAGTCCGATACACCCCATCTGGTGTATCGAACTGTGTGATATTTGGAACCTTGTAAACATGGTTTCCTTTTCTCTTTTCAGCAGTGTTAAAACCGACCGAGAAATAGAAGCACTTTTCTTTTTGGGTGGCAAGATAGCAATTCAATCATCCAAGTTAAACAGGAAACTTATGATGTCATCAATTAAATAAAAAATAAATAAAAACTGAAAATATAGAAAATTACAGAAAAATTGGGCATGTCTCGAATATTGCATATTCATCATATTAAGCAAAAATAAATATATATAATGATTGTTATTAATGATGGAAATGGCCAAAAATACAAGAAAATAATAAATGTGTAACCTGTGTTTCCATTGATGATTGACTGGATGATATGGTTCAGTGGATTATTGATTGAGTTGATGGATTTTGCATGTGACTGGCTCGGAAGTGAAACGGACCTGGAAATCTGGCCAGGTGCTGGGTTGATCACGAGTTAGAAACATTTCTTTTCAGTAAGGATATGCCTGGATTATCAAAAGTGGGGTGTGCCCAAATCAGTTCTCTTTCTCCACTTCATTTGCAAAATATATTAGTTATGTGAATATCCAATTTTTTTTCCTCTAAATTTTCTGATTGCAGGCAATATTTTGTTACTGGGTCACCTCCAACTTGTTTTCGCTCATGTATGGCCTAGGTGAGTCCATTTACCTTAGAACTTCTGGACCAGAAGTTCGGTATTTTATGTGCTGGCAACCCTTCCCCTTTTGGCTGTATGAAAATGCTAGAAGCTCAGCTTTTGGTTAGACACTTTTTTGCCTCCATGTGACACACATCCTCGCATGCACATAAAAGAACACTTAATGCTGTAAAATATCTGCGTCGGGTTGACAATCAGTCTTTGTTTTTGTTCTTCAGTACTTAAAAGACCCTCGGTTAAGGAGTTCTTGGGTCTTCCAAAACTACCTGCAGCACCTCCTTCTGCAACACAATCTTCCTTCTCACTATCGTCACTGTTTAAACAGTTTACACCAACCACATCAGAAGCTTCACTTCCTGTTGAGTCATCAAAGTTTGCTGATAGGAGGACATCTTCATCTTCAGTTATCAGCCAGAGGCTTAAGAGTGTAGAGAAAGAAGTGAAGAGAAGAAAGAAAAACAAGAAGAGATAAGGAAATAAGTTGACGGAATTGGTTGCTTCTGTTTAGTTGAATAACACTAGCTGAATCGATTCGGGATGCAGATAAGTCTCATGTTTGGAGAATGCATGAACTCAGGGAACTGGGGATATATTTGTATTTTTTATTACGTTGGGTTTATGAGAGTTGTAATTTCGAGATAGGGGATTAATTTTCTTTTTGGGTTTTTTTGATGTTTTGACTAAGAAACCCATGTTTTGAAGTTTGACTAACTTGGGGTTCTTAGCCAAATAACAAGCGTGCTTCTAGTGAGTGGGTAAAAAAGAAATTCAGTATGCGACAACCGTATTCTAGTATAGAGCAAGGTTCAGGCCGAATTATTGGTACTTTTTTTTTTAAGTTTTATTTATTTTTTTCTAAAATTGGTTGAGAGGGATCGGTTTAAGGCTTGGTTATCCTCTGAACCATGGTCTGACCTGATACGACCCCTGGAGGGGTGTATCGGGAAGCCATTGGCACGATACGTATTGGCTGAGATGATACATGTTGATACTTTAAACCTTGGTATAGAGGTAAGTTTTGGTGTTAATCACGAGTACAATAAGAATATCTGACTGAACTGTGAGTTTGTGATCATGGAAATTTAGGAAGTTACTCTAAAAATTCATTCATTTTGTAAGTACCTAAGTTTTTAAATTTAGTTCAGTGCATAGGTTTTTTAAATTGTTTGTCCAATTCCAAATTGAAATCCAAGCATTGAGATATTCCAAATTTCATCTCTTTGTAATTGGATCAAGGGGGTTGGTCAGGACCTCGAATCTCTGATTTTGAGGCATTTGGGGAATGCTCCTCATTCTCTCACTTTCTCATCCTATTGGGGCAAATCCATGCCAATATAATAGGGGTGTGTCAATGGACCATGTTTGCGTTGGATCTGTCTGAATCAAAATCAATTTCAACAGGTTGGTCCATTTGTAATGTATTTATATTAGACTGGCTTGGACTGAATCAATATTCGGTCCAAGTATCAATGCATCAGGTTTGCATTGGACCCAATCTAAACTAAAACCAATTTGAACAGTTTAGACAGTCCAAACATTGAATCAAGGTTCAAAGTATTGGAATCGCAAGGTGTATCAAAAAGGTAATTTTAAGAGATGTATTAAGATACGCTTTGGAAACGTATAGATGCGGATAAAAAATCAAGATATGTATGTATACGCTAGAAAATTCAAAAAATCTTTAAAAAATATGAACAATAATAAAAATGAGTTTTATGTGATTATAACTAATTTATTTAAACATAAAAAATCATTCTTTAATGATTTATATGAAGTATTGGAATATAATTAGTAACCATTGAAAAATAATACAGCTAAAATGTATGTGTATACATACTAATATTTATTAGTTAATATCTTTTGAAGTCATTTATTAGTTAATATTTATTATATATAGATTTAGATGATATTTATTATGTATACAAGTTAATGTATTCCTTAATTTTTAATAAATAAATTGAACTTGTATCCATCTTATTATTATATAAATATTAATAATCAAATTTGTATCATTTGTTGGGAAACATCCACCAAGGCAAGAAAGATTACTTTAAATATAAAAAAACATGTTTTAATAAGTAATTGAGGTTGTCATAATGGTTAAGCAATTAGTGGTGCAATCAAATGACTTAGGTTCAAAACTTTTTACCTTTGATTTGTGATTTTTAACAAGTTATTTGACTTAAATAACATTCAATGACATATTAAATGTTGTAATTAAAGGTAACTTAAATGAGCATTTAATTAAATTATATAAGCATTTAGTAACGTCTGACTTTAAGGATTAATTAAAATTGATATTAATGAGAGAAAATATATAAATTAAATTTAAATTTAAAAAGGAGAGAAATTAAATTCAACAGATACATAATGCATATCGTCCCATTTCGGGTATGTATCAACACGTTTCGGATTGTATCGGCCGATATATACCTGAAACGAACGGCCTTGTATCGGTTCGATACGGACAAAAAAATACGAAACCATTTAATTAGGCATGTTCTGTGTATCGAAACTTTTCCGAAACGATACGTATCGGCCCATATCAGTCGATACGTTACGAAATTTAAAACCTTGCATTGAATTGAACCAATCCAGAATGGTTCAAACTTTTTTTTTTTATTATTCTATAGTGCAAAGTATTTATTGGATTGGATTGGATTGGATATTGGACTTGTCCGTCTGTAATAGACTCATGCTGCATCAGATTGGATTGGACCAATGTCTGGTTCATTTGACAGCCTTGATCCATCTGTAATGGACATGCTGGACTGGATTGGATTGAACCAATATCCGGTCCATTTGACAGACTTGTATGCCATGTAAGAATTTACTTCACACCTCATCCTCATTCTCTCAAAAATCGCTCCAATGCCAATTTCAGGAAACTATCCGTTTGAGAATCACGCCTAAGCATCAAATAAAATGAGCATTACTATTTTTCGAGGAAAGGTGATTTACCAAATGCATTTTCTCAAGTGTATGGAATAATTGGGTCCATTTCGATTTGACTGATTTGATTAGTAGTTAATATCTATCTATTTGTAAAATTGATTAAATGTGGTATTTTTACAAAGTCACATTCAAGTCATGTGAACTGTGAAAGTAAAACAGTAAATTTAAAATAATGAATATCAAAAGTCATTTCCAGAATTCCAGTTCATTTTATTGACATATGGTGATTATGATAATTTTTTAGTTCAGTTATGTAATAAAATTCTATTTGACTCTTAAGGCTCAGTTTGAAAAGAGTACAAATATGAATAATACATAAAAATAATATAAAATACAAGATTTACATGTTTATGTTTGTATTTCTTTCAAACTGAATTAAGGCTCTATTTGAAAGGAGTACAAATACAAATATATACTGTGTAAATACATACAAAATAATATAAAGTACAAGGTTTTTATGCTCTACATATTTGTATTTGTACTCCTTCCAAACTGTGCCTAAGGCTGAGTTTGGAAAGAGTATAAATGCAAATATGTAGAGTGCAAAACCTTATATTTTGTATTATTTTGTATGTATTTATGATGTACATATTTGCATTTGTACTCCTTCCAAATTTGCATTGGTTTAAGTGCATGGCAGTAAATAGACTGGATCAAGGTTCAAAGTATCGACACGTATCAGTCCGTATTGGCCGATACATATTGTTCCGGGACCTCACCGATATGCCCCTATAGTGCGTGTATCGGGGGTCTGACCGGTTCAAGGGATGGAGGAGACCTAAACCGCCCCCCTGAACCGGTTTCAAAAAAAAAAAATAGTATCAATTCGCCTGATACACCCATAACCTTGGACTAGATGTAAATTCTAGCTTATAGACTAGATGTAAATTCTAGCTTGCGTTTTCTTCAGATTAGGAATTGTAGTGAGGCAGAACTCAGTTTCATGGGGAAAATTGTCATTCCCACTTCAGATTTGACTTTGTTTTAGTTATTTGTGAGAAGTAAAATGATGTGCTTTCCACACCCCCCCCCCTACCAACCAGCTGGTTGGAACCTTGCTACATGTTAGGGGATTCAGTTTCACTCAGAGCAAAACTTATTAGAGCAGCCTTTACTATCTTGTATTGAGAATATCTCACTATTTATATGCTTTATTTTATGGGGAGATATTCTCAATGCAAGGTTGCAAAATGTTGTTGGAACGGTGTAGGCACGGGTTTGCCCTGATGGAAGCCAATCTTGGGCTAAGGTGCCTTATGTTTAACCAAGCAAATTTTCAAGGTCCACTAAGAAAAATACATATTTGGCACTAAGATAGTGCAGATTATCCATTAAGCAGCAATGGAACCAACGTGTGTTAGGATCTCCTACCCACACATCACACAGCCCCACATTGAAAACATCTCACGTGTTTGCACGTCATGACCATTTAAGGGGAGATGTTCCCAATGTACAGCTGTATTGTTCCCGGAGGAGCCCATCCCCCCAACCCATAACCCCCCCCCCCAAGGTGCAGGCAGGATTCAATCCCAAGTTGTTACGACTTTGTCATGGGGCTAGATCTGCAGTGGAAGGAACCTGTGTGGCACCTAGGCCATGCGCGGCCTGGACAAACCTGATGTGTGCTTAAGGGTTAGGTGCGACCCGATGAATGTCTCCACCAAGGTCAATGGCACTAGATCATGACCTCACGGCTCATGCCCGGGGCTATGTGCTAGCTCTTGCTGGTCCATGGGATGCACCTCTTGTGTTCCAAAGGAGGATTGCCATGATAAGAGGTACATGTCATGTCGATGATGTGGGGCACTTGTGTGCCAATGATGATAGGCAGTCGTTGGGCCAGAGCACACCCATGCGCTAGGGGCAACGGGATAGCTCAATTAGCTTAGACATGGGGTTGGCATGGTGAAGGGTCATGCTTCGACCAAACCCACATGCCAAGCCTCCTTTCAAGGTACGTGGCACAGTGCCGGTCCATGCACTGTCCCCATGAGCATGTGTGCCCATGAAGAACCTTGATAGCCATGTTAATCATAACCAGGGCTGCCCCGCAAGGAAAGTTGGTTTAGGAGTTCCAAGGTTAAGCACCCAAGAAGGTTGACCACCCCTCCTCAAAAAGTACGTTAAGCTTTTGGAAGTCCACCAATAAGAAACATTACTTCTCTCAAAAATCATACTAGCAAAATTTATGATAATGTCACTTACCGTAAACCCACCAAGCATAAGTATGACTAAGCCTAAATCAGACCATAACAAGCTGGTTGGAGCCTTGCTACATGTTAGAGGCTAGGTGCCTTACGTTTAACCAAGCAAAATTTTAGGGTCCACTAAGAAAAATACATATTTGGCGTTGAGCTGGTGCAGATTATCCGATATGCAGCAACGGAACCAACGTGTTAGGATCTCCTACCCACACATCACAAAGACCCCTTAAATGTACATTGGGTACATTTAAGGGGAGATGTACCCAATGTACAACTGTAGTGTGGTAGGTGTGGATAGTAATCTTGTGGATAGAATATCTGGATTGGAAAACCAAGCGCCATCATTACTAGCTTACTAATTGGGTTATGTTGCTGGATTACAAATTCCGATGCCTCAAAAGCTTTGGTTGCAATGGAGAAAGCTGTGAACTAAAATCATTTTTGAGTTGAAAAACTGCTAGAAAATACTAATTAGGTTATAACTTGTTACACAATTCCATATAATAAACTTTTGGCAAATCACACGAGAGGCTTAGGGGCCTGGGTGACCAATCTCCTGTTTTGTTTAAGAGGCACGATTTTTCATGCGCCAATCTATCTTAGGATCCGTTTGGTTCACAGCCGGAATTGAAATTGGAATCGAAATCAAAATTTTTTGAAATCGGAATCATAATGGTTTATTCCTGGAATCTGTTTGGTTTAGTCAGGAACCGGATTCAGATTCTGATTCCTACTGCTTGGTTCAAGTAAAAACTGGAGTCGGAATCAGCCAAAATTTCCAATTCTGCTCTTGTTAAAGGAACCTCAAAAACATCCTCAAAAACTGGTTTTCCACAGCTTGGAGACGCTGCTGAAGCTAATGCATTCAT